AGAGGGGTTGGTTTTTTTTTGTTGTGGTTTTTTTTTTTTTCTGGGCTTCTTAAAGAACGTGGTTCTTTTCCTCTCCCTACTTCCCTCTCTTTCTTTCTCCCCCTCCATCCAAGTGAGAAAATCTATGTGTTCCAAAAAAGGCAGAGAAAAGCACTTACTTCGTAACTTTCAAACTACAGTATTAAGTTCTGTGAAGAATAATGAAGGAACAGAAAACCCTAGCTTCTACATATAGCATGGCGTTTTAATTACTTTTACTTTATACAGGTGTCATCAGGGTGTTTTGTTACTCTTAGTGTTGAAAATTTGTTGCAAGTTAAGCCTTCTGCTTACAATTAAAAACAAACTCCAAGGAACAGTCAGCAGAAAGAAAATGTCTTAAGATGTGCTTGCACCAGGGAATAGCGTCTTGTTTAAGAAGACTTGTGAGTGCATGCAGTGAAGGAAATGAAACAGGAGTGATTTATTCTAGTTTAAGAGATCAAAATGTCAGCTCTTCTCTCCAAGTCTTACCTCAGAGAAAAATAAGACTTGATTAAATGCTTAGTCAAGCTATTTTATTTTTTTTAACCTTCAATTGTTAGTCTTCCGTGTTAATATAGAGAAAACAGAAGAAATAACACTAAATTCTTGGATTTCTTTATAAATGAGGAAAGCCTAGAAACAATGGAACTTTAGAATCTATTTTTTTTCCAGTGGGGCAAAATGGACTACTTTAAGCTTTACCCTACTCTTTTGAACTTTGATTTACTTGTTTCTTAAGAGGCCATTATATGGTCTATTTTGTTATCACCAATGAAACAATTATGAACTTGTTGAAATTTTAGGATCTTGCTTAATATCAGCAGGTTATAAAGAGCATCTAGTAGGAGTGCTGGTACTCTACAGCATTTAATGAGACTTCTCCCATTTGGTATTGATTATTTAAGAATATATAATTTTTGTAGTTGTTTACACTTAAGTATGAGCTAAATTATTTCTTCAAAAATAAACTTGTGATTAATTTAACTTTTTGTTAGCAACACAAAAGAAAACCCCTATTTTTTTCAAAATTAAATAATAAGTGGAAGAAGAAAAAGACTTAGCTCTGACAGGGATATGATCTAGTTGGAGATATCCCTGTTCCT